GCACACATTTTCCTGCGTTCCTCTCTGTTCCTACAGCCTCTCCATCCTTTGGTAATATCATTTCTGGAATTGCAGGATCCCTGCAGAGGAACAGCCGTACAGTTCAATGAGCTGGACTGAGAAGGGACAAAGGGCTGTGATATCTACCCCTTTCCTCAGCTTTTCCTCAGCAGAAAGAGCAGTTTCACTACCTTGTCCTTTTTGAGCCCCCCATGCCCCAAGCAGTCATTCTTCTACTTGGGTCCCATGACTATCACTGTGATCTTACCAGAGGTACCAGAAAGAGCTGCAGGAGCAAGAGATGAACTGTTCTGGCCTCAGGTCTCCAAGCCCACCACTCTTCTCAAAAGCAGGGCATTACCCTGCCTGCAAGAGTTTGGCAGGGTCTGGAGCACAAGTTTAGTGGCCTCATGAACTGGTTGATCCAGCAAAGCTGCCCCTCTCGGCTTCATCTTAAATAGTCTGGGGGGAAACCAGCCTCAGCTGTTCTGAAGGCAGCTTCTGAAATTCACCTAGGTCTTAATTGGGCCAGAATCCTGCTGGAACATGGGCTGCTAGCTTGGCACTGTGTCCTCTGTTGCCAGCCCCCAAGTCCGGGTGGGGGTTCCCGCACTTTGGGGGTCTCCAATCTGCCCCTGGACAGCTGGCTGTTGGGGGAAGCCCCATCCCAAAGCGTGACCACTCACACGGCCACCCCTCTCCCTTCCCTCCTGGCCGATTTAAAGGGCTCTCCAGCTGATTGGCGGGGACCACATGGCCCACCAATCAGCTGGAGGGCCCTTTAAATCTAGCAGTAGCAGGAGGGAGGGGGTGGTAGTGGGCCACACTCTCATCTCACAAAAAGACCCTTTAAAGGGTCTTTTTGCAAGTGGGGTGGGGGTGTGATGTGCAGGGCTGATTTCCCCCAGCCCCCACATCATGGGTCTTTTTGTGAGCCAAACATGCAGCCTATGACTGCCTCCTCCCTCCCTCCCTCCCTCCCTCCCTCCTAGATTTAAAGGACCCTCCAACTGATTGGCAGGCCACTTGGTCCCCGCCAATCAGCTGAAGCTCTTTAAATTTGGCAGGAGGGGAAGGAGAGGGATGGCCAGGCAGATGGTTGCTCTTGGGGGAGGGGCTTGGGGCCATCCTCACCCATGCCCGGAACATACACACCCAAATCCCCCCAATGGAGCAAGGAGGGGACCTGACAACCCTATGCCTCTGTGTGAGCCCATTGCCTCCACTGTTCCTGCAGGGGAGGGGGAGGACTAGTGATCTGGGCCCTGATCCACCATGGCTGACGTGTAGCTGTCCCACTTCCTCAGAGACATTGAAATAGAAGTTAACAGTTCCTATATATAGATAGATGTCTCTACTTAGGTGAACAGCAAATTAGCATATAATTTAATGAAGATGTTTTAATATATGCAGAGGCCAAACAGCAATAACAAGCTAAGTACATATGGTCACCAGATCACCATTTGTTTGGATTTAATTGGGGGGGGGACAGTGTAGTAATAAATATGACACATTTACATTTGCAGTTTTGCACATCCTTAGTTTAATGTAACATCTGAATCTGATGAGAATATTTTCTTCCAACTAGAACTAAAAATCCATTTGAAGTAAATTTTCATTTTGAGTTTGGAGTTCTTATAATTTGCTATGATGATACTAAACAGCTAACAATGTGAAACCACATACTATAATGGGAAATGCCACTATTCATTCCCAGCCTATGAGCTGGATTGTAAAGAATTTTCAAGGGAGCACATGCCTAGAAGGACACTTCCCTTCCCACTGTAGCTCTCTACATCCTGGAAAGCTGCTCCTCAGATATGACACCGGATGCTGCACAGGGGACATCAGCCAGAAGGGCAGGAGGATTGTCAGGAATCACTTCTGCTATTTTTGTGTGACCTCTTCCATAGTGAGCTTGCATAAGAATTGGAGAGGAGATTTCTGACAGTACTCCCTTCCTGCTCCAGGTCCACTGTACTATACTTGCCATTTCTGAGCCCCTGACCTTCAGAAATGGCTTTTCAGAGGCTGCAATGGGAAGGGGAAATTTGCCTTCTTCTAGGTCACTCTATTTGTGGCTCTTTAGAATCCAACCCGATATGTTGGCATGGGAATGTTTGATGTAAATTAGGTAGCAAGCTTTCCACCAGGCTGCACCTTACTGTTTTCTTATCTCCCTTGTTAGGCTTAATTAGAGATCATACATCTTTATACTGGGATTGACGGGGGATCTGGCTCAATTCTGAGCTGTTAAATAGTATGTAATGTTGGATTTGGTCTGTGCTTTGACTTCATCTTCCCAGTGCTATTTTGCTGTTATTGTGGAGTTGCAAAAATGTGATTGATGCTTTCTTCTCTCAGCAGTTTGCTGCCACTTATTAAAGAATAAAATAATGCATTGCTAACATCAAATTAACCTCCATTTTTTTAATATTTACATTTTCTTGAGCTACGGAATGTCCTTCTTTTGTTGTGCTAGCACTTAAAAATGCCCTTGAAAGCTTCCTGTATTTAAGAACTGTTTATCCTCTCACCTGATAAACACTTATTTTACATGCTGTTTACATTGCTTTGAATGTAACTATCTCTATCAATCATGAGGAAGAAAAAGAACTTTTTTCCCTTGGCTTTAATAATGGAACACCAAAATATTGAAAAGCAAAGTCGTTTCCTTCCACAGAAGATAATTCAAAGAAATGAAAGCAGTGCCCGTATAATGGCTATATATCTGTTGATTCCTTTAAATATGACCTGAAGTGCCTTTGCAATATATATTATTGTACAAATTGCTTTACAATTTTGAATTCATTGTGGGCACCCAGGTTCAAATCCCTCCTCAGTCAGAGAGGTCTTACAATTGCACTGAATGACATCCTGCTAAGAACATTGACTTCGGTTGGCTTAGAAAGGTATAACCTTTCTTGACACCATTATTTCCTACACTTAGTATAGAGTTGCCAGCCTCCAGTTGGTGGCTGGAGATCTCCTGAGATTACAACTGAACTCCAGGCAATAGATATTAGTTCCCCTGGAGAAAATGGCCACTTCAGATGGTAGACTCTATGTCATTGCACTCTGCTGAAATTTGTCTGCTCCCCAAATCCCACCTTCCCCACGTTCCGCCCGGAGATTCTCCAGGTATTTCTCCACCCAGAGCTGGCAACCTTGACTTAATGTGGGTTAGCACTACGGGTGCTGCTTTGAACTTTGGGGGGGGGGATGCAGGATGATGATGAATTTACAATTCTGTTCTTGTTTTGTCTTTTAGTATTTCCTTCAATAAACAGTTAATGAACTTTGATATTAGCTCCCACTCTTCTGAAAAAACACAAGAGCTTTGCATTGTGTAAATTCCATCTTCCATCCTCTACGATAGATATATTTTTCATTATGTCCTAGATGGAGAAAACCACATGGTGGCAGTCTTGAGAATGGAATTCAGTTCCTTTAATTGCTGTCTCCCTCTTTAACCTCTACACTCTTTATCATTACAGTTTGCACATACCGTGTGTTCTGGTAGTATTGTTAGTTGTTACAAATGTAATAAGTGCCCGGCCTTGTTGTAGCTGTATTTTTAAGCTAACAAATGAATGAAAAATACATTTGTTTTATATGAAACTTTTCTACCCCACCTTTCCACTATTAGTGTCCAAGCTGGTTTATAGCACATAGAGACAATGTAAACCAAAACTGCTATATTAGAATTAATGTTTTAACACTTAAAACTGGAACCGAAATAAAAGTAATCACACCTACAAGAACATCCATAACCAGAAAGAAGAATCAAGGCAGAAGCAGACTAAAGGCCTTGCCCAAACCGAACGGTCTTTAACAGGCTTTGATCTGGCCTCCCCTCCAGTGGCCACAGTTCCTAGAAGCCGGATGGGACCACTGTATTATCTGTTGAGGCGCGTTGTTGCTTTAGTGTGTTGGTGATTTTATTGATTTTAATGGATAGTTATAATATATTTTAATTCTAAATCTGCATTAATTGCAGACCTATATGTTGGTACCCGCCCTGAGCTGACAAAGTGGGGAGGGCAGGATATAAGTCTAACAAAATAAGATAGATAAATAAATAACTGAGACCTGGCTGATATCCACATTGGCAAATGCCCCTTCATCCCATTCCAAATGTGTGGAGCTAATGCATCAAGCTTAATAGTCTTTGAAATAATTCATAACAAGTTCCTTTCATAGTCAAACCACTTGGTATCTTTTCTATGTCCTGTTATGGTTGACTAGAAGGTTCTGTTCAGAGGTTTTCTGTGAGGGGACTTAAACTGCTATGGGCCTTTTAAGAAGAGATTGGGTTTATACCCCGCCCTTGACTACCCAAAGGTGTCTCAGAGCGGCTTACAAACTCCTTTCCCTTCCCCTCCCCACAGCAGACACCCTGTGAGGTAGGTGGGGCTGAGAGAACTCTGACAGAAACTGCTCTTTTTTCAAGAACAGCTCTGACAGAACTATGGCTTGCCCAAGGTCATCCACCCAGGTGCAAGTGGAGGAGTGGGGAATCAAACCCGGTTCTCCCAGATTAGAGTCCGCGCACTTAACCACTACACCAGACTGGCTCCTTTTAAATTGTAAATCTAGAATATTCTCCCCAGTGCTTCCTTTATTTGGCTTCTGTAAGGAAGTAGTGAGAGCTCTTCATACCATTCTCATTGCATTTAAGAATGAAATTACAGTTAACACAAATACTAAAAATCACATTATATGCCATTTAATAAATGCAACAGTAAAACCCAAGATTAAAACCAGAATTTCTTTTTATATAGGCAGTGGAGAACATGTTATGTTAATTAACGTGACTCTAGATATCTTGTATTTTGTTGTAGTGCATTGCCAGTGTCTAGACCTATTTTGTGAAATGCTTTGAATATTGTAGGACAGAGGATGATTTTCTGTTTGGGAGCCACATAACTTTATCAACAAGTTCTTTATCAATGCTCATTATCATATTTATCTTTATTACCTTTATTTTACACTCATAGGGAGGGCAGGACCGTCATCATCCACTACAATAGCTGGCACCAGTCAACCGGCCATCACTAAGACCACATCAGTTCTTCAAGATGGTGTCATCGTCACAACTGCAGCTGGAAACCCACTTCATAGCCAGCTTCCCATTGGGAATGACTTTCCTTTTGTTGGACACGAACATGCTCTGCATTTTCCTCAGAACAGCGCTTCAAACAACAATCTTCCGCACTCTTTGAATTCAAATCTCTTTAGTTCTCTACCTATCTCTTTGCCAGTGAATCAGCAGCACCTCCTAAACCAGAATCTATTAAATATACTGCAGTGGAGAAGGCAAGTCTGAGGTCAACCTCAATCCTTTAGGTTTTCTCAACCCAAATGTAAATGCTGCTTTAGCTTTGCTCTCCAGTGATGTGGATGGGCAGGTGCTGCAACCTGTCCATTTTCAGCTGCTAGCAGCTCTTCTTCAGAACCAAGCCCAAACAGCTGCCATGTTCCCCTTAGCACCTTTCAATCTGTCCATCTCAGATCTGTTACAGCAACAGCAAAACAATCCAGTGCCCTCAGTAACACAGATGACAGCCCCGCCACCAGATCATTTGCTAAGCAGTCAGTCAGACACCAACAGAGCTGAGACCCTGTTAACCAGCCCCCTGGGAAACCCTTTCCCAATCTTTTCAGGCGCAGACACTACTTCAAATCCCCTCTTCCTCCCAGCTGTCACTGGGGCCTCAGGATTAATGACCTTGAATCCCCAGCTGTTGGGAGGTGTTCTGAACTCTACATCGGGAAACACTGCTAATCATCCAGAGGTTTCCATAGCAATCTCCTCCCAGGCTACCACTACCACAGCCACTACATCATCAGCAGTGGCAGCACTGTCTGTCTCAACACTTGGTGGGACAGCAGTGGTGTCAATGGCAGAAACATTGCTGAGCATATCTAATAATGCTGGGAGTACATCTGGTCCAGCTAAACTCAACAGTAACTCTGTGGTGCCACAGCTACTTAACCCTCTACTGGGGACAGGTCTACTTGGTAAGTTAAATATTTTCACAGATTTTAAAAAGGAAAAAAAAAAAGAATGGTGGTGGGGGGAAGCTTCTATTTTCTACCTTTTTTTTTTTTCAAAATTCCATTTCATTGCACTTTTTTCCTAAAAGGTCTTATGCTATGTCAGCTTGTCTTAACCATTCCAGTGGAAAACCTGCAAATACAATTGACCGAAAATTTTAAATAGCACATTTTAAAACCCTATTGTTTTAGAAAGTTTGATGCCATCTAAATTCAGTCAACCAGTTGGAATGGCTTTTACATTTTTCCAATCTCATCCATGTGCAGGTGCATCTTTGAGATGCGGTATTTTGTTTAAAATCTCCAAGGCATCACAGGGTTAGTATGAGTAGCTGTACAATAGATGAGAACCTTCCAAGTCCTTCTGAATCTGAAATACTCCCAACACCGATATACACCCGACCCTCAGATTACTCTGAAGCAGTACATAATGTCTTGCACAGTCAAGGACAGTCTTGCACGGGTTCAAAGTAATGAGCTATCCTTCTAGTGCTATAGATTTATGTTCTCATGTTTCCTTGTTTTTCGTTTGTTTTGTAGTTTCCAAACCACTTGGGAAGCTGGGGTCCCAAATCACATGTTTAAACCTGAGGTAGTAACATCCTCTACCAGTGACTTCAGATGGGGAGCCATGTACTGGAGAACAAGTGCCTTCAAAACATGATTATATAAAACCAGATTTAACTGTGAATTGGACCCGAGAGTCTGCCAAGTCCTTTAATTTTATATTTGAATTTATATTCCCCATATCCAGGGGTCATTTCGTAGAAAAAGAGCTAGGGGAACTCATTAGCATAACTCATTAGCATATGCCACACCCCCTGACATCAGGGGCCCGGCGGTAGACTTGCAAGGCCAGCGGGAGTGCGAGGAAGCCCCACCAAGGCCCTCCCTGGCCCCAGGCAGGCAGGGGTGGGGAGAGGCGGGGAGGAAGCAACTTACCCTCCCTCTTCTCCTGCCTCCTCCTGGCTGAATGAGGGCTGGAAGCGGGGCGGCCGGAAGCAGGGGGCGGGGCTTCATCATGTGCCCCGCCCCCCTGCACCTCACCCGGGGGAACTGCGTTCCCCCATGTCCCCCCCCCCGAAATGACCTCTGCCCATATCTGTCATGAGGCATTCAAGGCAGCTTTCAGCTGATAATTAAAACGTACAGTCATATCATTTATAGATCTCAGGTAAATCTAGTCTACAAAAATAGCCTTGGGGTAATCATGGTTTAAACCATCATAATTTGTCTAAAATAAATGCTTTTAAAATGAAAGTATGTTGATAAAAAAACAAAGCTTTAAAATATTAATGGTATTTCCTCTAGCAATCTGGTATTTTGTTTTATGAGTACTCCTAGTTGTGTAATGTACTGTGCACGCATGTGTGTTTAGTGAATTAATGTTCATCGAACATAGGGATTAGTGGCTGTACAGAACTAGTTTTAGTATAAATCCCATCCTAATTTGTTATGAATTTACCCAAAAATTAATATGACATCAGAGTTGTTACTAAAATAAGACCATGTGTATGCTAGCAACATAGAATTCAAAGAGCTGTGTACCAAACTTCCATGCAGCTGAGGGGGAGGGGAAAGCACATGCTTTTCATGGAGAAGGTCTTAGGTCCAATCCCTGGAGCCTCCACTTGACAGGATCTCAGGTAGGAGGCCCTGGAGAACGGCTGCCAGTCTGAGTAGATGAACTGGAGCTAAGTGGACCTGTAGTCTGACAGCCTATAATGTATACCAGATGCTCTGAATTATTCTCTCCCCAGTACCTTGGAAAGCTGCTTCTTTTGCTTACGTAGACTTTGATGAAGTACTTAGAACAGGAAACTGTGCACCCCCCAGCATACATGAGAAAACACTTCGGTGTCTTTCGATCCCACTTGTAAAAATTAATCTTGCCTATATCAGTGAAACGTTTTTGCTGTTGTGACCTCTAATTTTTGTTCTCAGACCGTGGCTTCTCAAATTGCTTCTTTAAGAAGCATGTACTAATTTGCATACATTTTAAATCATCAAAATGTTTATTTTTCATACTAGTGTTATTAATCCTTTGTATATATGTGTCTTAACATTAAAAAAATGTAGAATATGTTTTAAAGCAGCGATTTTTAAAAAATCTGCTGATTCTCAGGACAAGTTTGTTAGCATTGCTGTGTGTTCAGTAAACTGTAAAGTGTTGCTTCTGCTTCAAGAAACATTGTGAGAACAACTGACCACTTTGTCAAACAGATTTCTTTGTGAATTTAAAAATTAACTATAGATTCTGTGGGAAGTGAAATCCAGAATTAGACTGTCTTGCGGAAAGAGGTCAGGCAGACAAGGTAACAGCAAATCTGTGCTGTTGCACTATGATCCCAAAGAACCAGTTTACTAAAAACTTGCAGAGAAGTTTCATTTATGCATTGTTGCCATTACATTGTACAAACAGGTTGATGCTTACCTTCGGAAAACCACTGACTTAAATATCCCTGTTTTTGGAATTACAGGTGACATGTCATCAATAAACACAGCTCTTAGTAACCATCAGCTAACGCATCTGCAGTCCCTGTTCAACAACAATCAGATGTTTCCTTCAAATCAACAGCAGCAGCTTCTCCAAGGCTATCAGAATCTCCAAGGTTTTCAAGGACAGCCCCCAATTCCTGGGCCACCTAATAATCCAAACCCTATGGCTTGTCTATTCCAGAATTTCCAGGTAGAGAAGGTTTTTGCTGCTTTTTAAAAGTCATGCCTGAAATAATACAATTACTTTTATTTTTGTTTGTTTGTTTTTAAGCCATCATTTCCTGAAATTAAAATGGGGGGCGGGGTCATTTCCAGTGTTCCCTCTAAGATGAGTTGGTCTGAGCTAGCTCACAGTTTTTAAGGCTCCGGCTCACACATTTTTGTCTTAGCTCAGGAAGGATGGCTCCAGAACAAACTAATTTATGGAGCTGTCAAATCGCTCGCTCACGACTTTAATGCCAGTAGCTCACAAAGTAGCATTTTTACTCAAAAGACTCCACAGTTTAGAGGGAGCATTGGTCAATACTTTGCCTCCTCTGACATTAAGTGTACAGTCTTATGCAGGGTTGCTCCAGTCCAGGCGTAATGATTTCAGACTGGCATGACTATGCATAGAATTTCACTTTTTAAAAAAGTTAAGTATTAGTTTTTCATGTATTAAAGTATGGCGAGTATTAAAGAAAAATTGTGGTAAGCAAATTAATGCATTCGCACCCCCACTCCCTGAAAAGTATCTCCCCATTTGGTTTTCACCAAGCGAATGCTATCAAAGGTTTAAAGGCTAAACTAAGGAAGTGACTAAAGATATCAACTGTGCTAGACTCTGGAAAGAAAACTACCTCATATACTTAAAATTATAACAAAAGTGTCAAACTCAAAGTCTGAACACATCATTAATTTGGGATGGGCACAAGAACTGCTTTGATGTTTTAAGAAATGTAAACAAAATGCATAATTCTGTTAGTGTAGACAACTAAACATCTCCATGATCTTACAATTGAAATCTAAATTGTGTGGCTTTCTTTGTGTATGTTTTTGCTTTGTTAGAATGAATTATGTAGATATATTAATGCAGCCATGGCAGATATTGCTAGATGGCTTTCCTTACAATGTTTGATAGAGAAGAAGATGAAGAAGAAGAGTTGGTTTTTATACCCCACTTTTCTCTACCCTAAGGAATCTCAAAGCAGCTTACAAAGCGGCTTATGAAATAAAATAAGTTATTTATACAAACATGAAGTCCTTAGTCTATGAACAGTGTACATATTTGGAAGAAGAATATTGATGGCTACAACCTTGCACAAAATTATATTTGCTTTAGTTAAGTTGGACTTTAAGTTCTTATAGTTGTGCACTGGATTGCAACTTGTAGCTGAGACATGAATAATAAAGAGATTGTTGAGAGAAACCTTTAGAAAAGTCCCCAGTGCCCACGGCCCCCTGTTCAGGGAGCACAAGGGGCTGCAGCCACAACGAGGAGGAAGCGATCCATAGTCCTATGCATAATCCTTAATAAATCACATTAACTTCAACTGAATGTAAGCAACATATGCAGGATTTCAGCCCAAAGGCATAGTTCAAAAATCTGCATGTGCAATAAGAGCCATTTTCATAGTTTTACTGAGGACCAGGATGTTTTCTCACACACAGTGTGTATCCTTAGAATCCTATCCAGAAGTATAATCAAGAATAGAAATTTTAAAAATGCAGTTGAGCCTATGTGGTGGAAAGGCTTAAAGTAAAGGTAAAGGTTCCCTTGCTCGAAAGCCAGTCGAGTCCGACTCTAGGGTTGCGGAGCTCAACTCTGTTTCAAAGCCAAAGAGCCAGCGCTGTCCAAAGACGTTTCCGTGGTCATGTAGCCGGCATGACTAAACACCAAGGTGCACGGAATGCTGTTACCTTCCCACCAAAGTGGTACCTATTTATCTACTTGCAATTTCTTGCTTTCAAACTGCTAGGTTGGCAGGAGCTGGAACTAGAGACAGGAGCTCACTCCATCTTGCGGCACCCAGGTCTTGAACTGCTGAACTACTGACCTTCCACAGCCTGCAGTTCAGCATCTTAACCACTTGAGCCACCGCAGCCTTAATTGTGGATAAACAGGAGTCATTTCGTAGAAAAAGAGGTGCAGGAGCTCATTAGCATAACTGATTATTAGCATAACTTATTTGCATATGCCACACCCCCTTACATCACCGGACGTGTGTCCAAAGGCAACACCCACCGCTCAGGCTCCACTCCACAGGTGAGTAAAACTGACCCGCTCTACCTCCATTCCCTTCTCCATCCAGCCTGCTGGGCAGGACGGCTGGGGAAGGCAGCAGAGCCATGGCTGGGGGAGGGAGGGGGAAGCATTTATATACCATCCCCCTTTCATTCTCCTGAAAAAAAGGAGTCATTTAAAGACGCCTCCCCCATCTTGCTTTGCTTCTCCAGCTGGACTGCCAAGGTGGGCCAGCTGGGAAAAAAAAAAAAAAAAGATGGGGAGGCATTTTTAAATACCTCTCCTTCGCTTCCCCAGCCAGCTTGACAAGGCGCGCTGGTTGGGGAAGCAAAGGGGAATCTCTTAAAGATGCCTCCACAACCTTTCTTAGCTTCCCCAGCCAGCTTGCTTTGGAAGGCTGGCTGGAGAAGCAAAGAAAGGTTGGGGAGGCATCTTTAAAAGCCTCCCCTTCCCTTCCCCAGGCAGCCTGCCAAGGTGGGCTGGTGGTGGAAGCGAAGAGAGAAGGGTTTTAAAGTTTAAACCCCTTCTCTCTAGAGTCGTACCGCTGCAAGGGCACGATCTCCCATCGTATCCTATGGCCCAATAAGATACAATGGAGTGATCGTGCCGCCTTAAACCCCTTCTTTCTGGAGTCGTGCAGCAGCAGCAGCACAATCTCCTATTGTATCCTATGGCCCCATAGAATACAATGGAAAGATCTGGAGTTGCGGCACGATCTTTCCATTGTATTCTATGGGGCCATAGGATACAATAGGAGATCGTGCCGCCACTGCGGTGCAACTCCAGAGAGAAGGGGTTTAACGTTTAAAACCCTTCTCTCTGGAGTCGTGCCGCAGCAGCAGCACGATCACTCCATTGTACCCTATGGGGCCATAGGATACGATGGGAGATCGTGCCCCTGCACCGGTGCAACTCTAGAGAGAAGGGGTTTAAACTTTAAAACCCTTCTTTCTTCTCTTCCCCCGCCAGCCCGCTGGGAACTGGGGGCGGGGCTTGCCGCCGCCATATGTGCTTACTCCTTGGCTGCCAGAACACCGTTCTGGCTCATTCCAGCTCCAAATGACCCCTGTGGACAATTAATGTAGGCAGGGAGCCACGGTGGCTCAGAGGTTAAGACGCTGAGCTGCAGATTGGAAGGTCTGTAGTTTGGCAGTTCAAGACCGTAGTGCCGTGTCTCTGGACCAAGTTCCTGCCAACCTAGCAATTCGAAAGCAAGAAATTGCAAGTAGATAAATAGGTACCGCTTCGGTGTGAGGGTAACAATGTTCCGTGTGCCTTGGTGTTTAGCTGGCCACATAACCTGGCCACATAACCACGGAAACGTTTTCGGACAACGCTGACTCTTTGACTTGGAAACTGAGATGAGCACCACCCCCTATAGTTGGATTTGACTAGCTTTTGAGCAAAGGAAATCTTTACCTAATGTAGGCAGAAAAAGAACAGAGAGAATTTTAACATACACTGCTTAGTGTTACTTGCTCTGTAGCAAAATGTTTTACGGTGCACCCAGGGGTCATTTCGTAGAAAAAGAGCTAGGGGAACTCATTAGCATAACTCATTAGCATATGCCACACCCCCTGACATCAGGGGCCCGGCGGTGGACCTGCAAGGCCAGCGGGAGTGCGAGGAAGCCCCGCCAAGGCCCTCCCTGGCCCCAGGCAGGCAGGGGTGGGGAGAGGCGGGGAGGAAGCAACTTACCCTCCCTCTTCTCCTGCCTCCTCCTGGCTGAATGAGGGCTGGAAGTGGGGCGGCCGGAAGCAGGGGGCGGGGCTTCGTCATGTGCCCCGCCCCCTGCACCTCACCCGGGGGAACTGTGTTCCCCCACGTAATGACCTCTGGGTGCACCTACTACTTGCTTGTGGCACACTATAGTTTTTACAGGCTGGTATAAGAGTTGCAGATGGAGGATCCTCTTTATGGGTAGGCAGGAATGTGGTTATGTGTGTTCCTAGAGTTTTTTAAGACTTTGGAGTGTATTTCTATAGCTCTTGCAGAGATCTGTGTTTCTTTAAAGTAGGTTTAGAAGTAAATTTTAAATAACAAAGTATACTGCAGTGCACTAAAGTTATGTCCTCAAAGCCAAGGCCAGGTTCTACGCAAGGAGAGCGCGATAGACAGCAGTGAGGAAGAGCACTGCCTTCCTGTTTATTTCTTGCAGTAGGCAAAACTAATTTGCATGAACTATTCATTATCAAACCTCTCACATTTCTTTTCCTCTTATATTTTTAAAAGGTGAGAATGCAGGAAGAGGCTGCTTTTCTAAACAAGAGAATGCTCACTCAGATGGGGATGCCACCAATTCCTGAAAGTCCCAACACCCCACTTCCACCTTTTCAGGATTCTCCATGCAACTTGCAGCAAAGGACAGAGCCATCCGTTGGCCAGCAGACCAAGGACAACCCCAGCCTAGGTGCCCAGGGTGATGCTTCAGTCAATGCTATCTACAAAGCAGTGGTAGATGCCGCAAGCAAGGGGATGCAAGTAGTAATCACCACTGCAGTTAACAGTACAACGCAAATGAGCCCCATCCCCGCTCTGAGTGCCATGAGTGCCTTCACAGCCTCAATTGGTGATCCATTAAATCTCTCCAGTGCTGTCAGCGCAGTAATCCATGGAAGAAACATTGGCATTTCTGATCATGAAGGTAGGGCAAGGAACTCTAGGGGGGCACGAATACTGAAGAATTCAGAACACCTAAAAAATTCCAGTGAGGGGGATGGCTTGGAATACTACAAACCAACAGGTTGCAACACCCCCAAAAAACAGTGGGAAGGGGAGCAAAGCCCTGGAGGAGACATGAACAGTTGGAAGTGTGAGGAGTTTTTAGATCATCAATCCCATATCCACAGCAGCCCTTGCCACGAAAGACCCAACCATGTCTCCACACTGCCCTTGGTCCAAGGCAAGCAGCATCCAATACTGTTACCACAGCGAAACTGTCAAAGCGATAAAATGTTGGAGGAGAACTTCAGGTATAGCCATTACAAAAGAACTATGATGAGTTTTAAAGAGAGACTAGAGAACACTGTGGAACGATGCGCACACATAAACGGAAACAGACCTCAACAGAGCAGAGGGTTTGGAGAGTTGCTGAATGCTTCTAAGCAAGACCTGGCGGCAGTGGAGGAGCAGTCTCCGAGTTCCTCAAATAGCTTTGAAAGTTCTCTAGTTAAAGACTACATCCATTACAATGGAGACTTTAATGCCAAAAGCATTAATGGGTGCGTGCCTAGTCCTTCAGATGCTAAAAGCATTAGTAGTGAAGATGATCTAAGGAATCCCGATTCCCCTTCTTCCAATGAGTTGATACATTACAGGCCAAGGACGTTTAACGTTGGGGACTTGGTCTGGGGCCAAATAAAAGGACTGACTTCATGGCCTGGTAAATTAGTAAGAGAAGATGATGTTCACAACTCATGTCAACAAAGCACTGAGGATGGGAAGGTATTTTTATACAAATGTACATATGTATATATAGATAGATAGATACATACATATCTATATATATAAATAAGGGTGTGTCTTGGTCACAAGTTTTTGCTTGTGTCTTCTTATGTTTAGGAGGGAAACTTATGTATATCACTGATGGATTTTTAGTTTCTGTTTCAGGTTTATAGCCGTCATTGCATTAGTCTCTTTCTTTATGACCCTTTGCAGATAGGCTCAATCTAAAATATTTAAATACATAAGATGCTGCATTAATTGTGTATTTTATTTAAATGCGTATGCCTCTTTATTTCAAGAGGTCAAGTATCATGCTATTTTGATGCTGTTTGATTATACCATCATGTATATATTTTCCTTTAATTTAATCCTCCGTTAATCATATGTTTTACATAGGATTTCATTTACTTCATTATGCTGTTTAGTAACACAAAGGGAGTAGTAATCAATGTGACTATTCTACATGTGAAAATTGAATTAGGCATTTGGGATTAGCTAAAAATAGCAGATTGTGGCTGGGACCCAAAGACCCTTTTGATTGAACATAGCATAATTCTGTGAACACGTGGCAATAGCCAGTTGGCCATTGGCTGTATCATCCCTTGCCACATTGAACACCACTCCAAAGAGTTCCCTGACCTTCTGGAGCAGCTGTTCCAAGACTCTAAAGTGGACTTCAAACCATGAAAGCGCCTCTACAAGTTTAGTCCTTTGGAACCTGTTCACATTCATTAATAAAACTGTCCTAAGAATAATAACACAGGGCAGGGGTCGTTTCGTAGAAAAAGAGCTAGGGGAACTCATTAGCATAACATATTAGCATATGTCACACCCCCTGACATCACCGGAAGTGTGTCATAAGGCCACACCCCCTGACATCACCGGAAGTATGTCATAAGGCCCGGCGGTGGACCTGCAAGTCCGGCGGAAGTGCGAGGAAGCCCCGCGAAGGCCCCTGCCCCCAACGGTCCCGGCCGACGGGAGTGCGAGGAAGCCCCGCGAAGGCCCTCCCTGGCCCCAGGCAGGCAGGGGTGGGGAGAGGCGGGGAGGAAGCAACTTACCCTCCCTCTTCTCCTGCCTCCTACTCCTTTGCATATTAGGTGACACACCCCTAATGTAGCCAATCCTCCAAGAGCTTACAGGGCTCTTCTTACAGGGGCTACTGTAAGCTCTTTGAGGATTGGCTACATTAGGGGTGTGTCACCTAATATGCAAAGGAGTTCCTGCTACATAAAGAGCCAAGGAATGTGCCACAAGTTTGTTCGTTTTTTAATCTGGTATTGACAGAGGCAGCTTATCTAGAAGAGAACAAATATAGATTCATCCTTCCCCCTGAAAAGAAGGAAGCTAAGAACCAGGGCACACATTACTGCTGCTAAGGAGGTGCTACTGAACACAGCCTTCCCCTGGCAAGTCATTCCCATCCTGACTACAAGGTCTTGATCAAGTGGGATCAACACCATTACTTTGTGGGTCTTCCACAGCTGCTGAATATGTGGAATGTGGTTGCATTTATCTAAAGAGTTTTTAAAATTGTCATACTTAAGAGCCATCAATATTTTCTAGAAGCTAGATTGGAAAGATCTTGTTCTCATTGACGCCTTCTAGTCTGTTCCCTTGTCCCCTCCACCGCTCTTTCGGGGGGGGGGGGATGTATTAAGCGGTATTGGAACTCAAGCTGGAAAGTATAGGCCTTTCCCATCATATGGCTGCTGGTTGTGCTGGCTAGAAGGGGAAAGCTCTCTTCATATGCTTGCAGCCATTGTTCTTAGTACTGAGATATTTACTTAGGTGCAGCTTTGCCTTTGGCTGCGTTCTCCAGGCTCAGCATTTTATACACCATTTTAGCTACACAGTGAAGACACGGCCTGTAGCAATCAGGGATTGTAGCCCTTTTCCTCCTTTCAGCATTTCCAGAGGGATGACAACCTACACAGGGGAATCATAGAGACTTTACTGTGTTAATAGGTCCCCACTGTTATTCTCTTGCACCACTACCCATTTAGAAACACTACAGAGTATTTTCCTGGGGAAATTGTCATCATATTGAAGAACGATTAATACCAGACAGTTCAGTATAATAGGGATTTTCAGTATCTGTTTAAGTGAATGCATTTAAAGCTTGCATTTCAAAGTTACTAAATTCTTCTCATTCTTATAAGAAGGGCTGGGAACCATATCATCTCAGATCAGTGGATTTTGACCATTTTAAGATTCAGGTGATAGAGTTCTTCACCTCATTTTTATTCATTCTGGAGTGCCTATCTGATTCTGCCACTGCCCAAGAAATCTACATTTCACTTACCAAAGGGACTAGAGGTACTATTCCATTCTCAGAATACCTCATCACATTCTGAACAACTGGGAATGAAGAACTCATTGCTGCAGAAAGACCATCTGTGTTGATTGGTCCACAGTGGAATGAACTGCTTAAATCATTTTGTTCCCACTTGCTGCGATGCACAGGGCTCTCTTCAGTGTTTTGCTTCTCCTTGGATACAGGGCCCATAAGGGTTGATTGATTGATACACAACCAAACAAGGAACTATGGCCTCCAGAACTCTTTCTATCTAATCCATCTACCTATAGAAGTGACGCATGGACTATCGCATATTCTGTTGTGATCCATGTGGTTAGTATAGATACCTGACTCGTGGATACACTCTGGATCTTTACTGCATCATAGTAGCAACTTTAGGAGCTCACAAAACTCCATCTCATCTCATTCACTTACCAAAAAACATGTGCCCGTTCTCTCACAATTGATGAAGATATTGCATGATATAAACCTAAATCAGAAACAGACTACCTGGTATTCCTTTGTTACCAAATGTCTGTGGTTTTTTACAGTACATTTTCTCAGGGATGTGACTCTAGCTGTTGTTTGATTTTAAGCATATTAGATTATACTTCTCTGTTTGAATTACATGATTGTTCCAAGTTGTTTCTTTAGGAGTTCATATCTCTGTTCTCTTGGCTTATCAAAGTGTCTTGAATGGTTATCCACACAGTTTTCTTGGAATGTCTTATTCATTCTATAAACAGCCCTTATAACTAATGGACAGTGTATGGTTTCCTGCAGTGTTCATCCATTATCATTAAGACTACTTTTTGGTAACCATCACTTCTGCTTGTGGTAAATTTCCTGTGTTTCACTATTACCCACATTGCCAACAAATGCATAAGAAAACAGGCATACTTTGGAAACAGCCCCCCAGTTTTACTCAGAGTGTAAATGTACTATTCGTCTTCTTAAACAAGGACAATAGTGAGTGCATATTGCGTGACTTGGGTGTTTTGTCTATGCTGAAATTTTATTTTTGGTATTATGGTCCTCTTCACAAGGACAAACAGATCATTTCAGAGGCTGTTAATTGATGGTGTCCAGTATTGTTTAGTGCTACCAGTTAACCAAAAAGATTCTCTCTTCAGGTATATTAAAAATAAGTCATAATGCAGGTTGCATGTTCATCATCAATCTTCTGTGCAGTCCCACATGGGGAATGTGCATGAGCAGGCCTGCCACAGAGAGGTTTTTACAGCTAAAAGCCTCCAGGGGCACTGTGCACTAGAGCCAGAAGAGATCATTCCTGCCCAAGTGGTCATGTGCTCTGGAGCACCAGCACCACCACCCTCAGTTCTTTTTTTGCCACCAGAGGAGAAGGTTCAAGCTTCAGTTCCTCCAACATTGTTTGTCTTTGTGAGTGCACGCTGGGCCCTTGGTCACTTGCTTCCCCCCCATCATTCTGGTGGTGGGTGGCTTAGCCCATCGTGGCCGGTCACAGAGGGCTTTATTTTAAATGTGCACCCATTGTGATGCCAAGATAACGTAGATGGATGAACACAATCTTTGCTTGTTCTGCTTGGGTGTCCAACTGCAAGGCTTGTCAGTGTTTCACCCCTAAAGCCAGAGAGGACAGAGCTTCCGAGTGCAAAGCAGCCATTTGGGAGAAAGCCCTTAAGACCACCAGTCCCCCTTTGGATTCATCTTTGGTGCCAGGAAAAACTCCCAAGCCCTCCTCATCCAATTCTGCCAAGTTGATTCCATCAATGTCCTGATCTGAATATCAACAGATCCGATCGAGATCACAGTCCTCTCAGAAGTAGATATTTTCCTTGGAACCCCTTACCAAACAACCTTAAATTGAAGTCCAAACTTAAGGGGAAGCACAGATCTGAGTCAGTACATCATACCCCAGCCCGAACTTCGAATCCAATGGCTGATCCACAAGACGTCTTACCCCCACCTAAAACTCCATCTCCCAAACCCAGATCACCTCCTGCATCCATCTCAGATGGGGAGATCAAAGAAGAACAGAGAACATTCTTGGTTCCTGATTTGCCTGATGCTCAGCTGAACCCTCCAGTTCTGTGGTTTCAGCCCCCAGCTTCCACATCCGTATCACCATCATATTTAACTGAGTGAGGTGACAGTTTCATGCTCAATTCCAGAGAAGATCCTAGTCATTTCTGGCCATCTCAGTACACAGTATCTTCATACCCATCAGCCATGATCTCCAGGAGACCACTTTCCCTCATTCCAGTTTCCAATGCAGAGGAGGGTGAGGACCAAGCACTCAAAGCTGAAGTGGGTTCAGATACATTTTCAGATCCTAGTCCTGATGAACATGTGGAAGATCCTGCCCCTGCATCTCTGACTGAGGATCTTCATATATACAGGGAACAGATGCTCAGAATAGCACAGTCCCTTGAGACTGAGGTAGCTCTGCCTGTCCACAAACCCAAGGACAAGATTCTCAGATGCCTTTATGCAGAATCTCCTGACATCATCGCCTTCCCCTTGTTAGAGGGACTTGTTGATTTGACCCAAGAGTTATGGCAGAAACTGGCATCCCTCCAGGCCACATCCTGGAGAGTTGAGAATTTTTACCAAGTGAAACAGGACTCTGTCAACTAATTGACTATTCACCCATCTCCCTCACTCGTTACAGAGGAGATGCAGCCCAAGGGACAACACTCGTACCATGATGCTCCAACCA